GACAGTTAAACGAATTACAAAAAGAGAATTCATTTCTCACTGGAAACATAAACCACCAGTCAAACAGAATATATTGCCAAATAAATCACAGCTTGGTTGCATATTGAATCAAGAATTTTTAGTTTATCAGCCACATGGAATCAGCAGAGCAGATATTGTGGAGGTACTTCAGATGCTATTTCAGTATTCTCAGCCCTCAACTACCAAATCTAATTAATCAAGTAATGGATCATAAAGGTTCTCTATTAAAATGCCAAGCGCTTTAGCCCTCATTAGCAGAAGCAGTTCCAGTGTTCTTTCTGAGGTTGCTCTATGTAAAAGCACACAATTTACTGCGTCAGCTTAGGCAATCCGTTATTCTAGTTCAGTATCTGTCTTCAGAGGAAGGCAAAAATCTATCTGTTCCTTTACCACTTGTGTTGTCCTCTTTATCAAGTGGGAGAGGAATAACTTATGATACCTGTAGTGATCATCTGACCTTCAGAAGAATGAGATGTGATCGCCCCTGTATTAGTAACACCTGCAGTGACACATACTATTAGCAGGCCAAATTGTCAAGTCCCTTTTCAAATGCTGCTGTAGCATGTTGCCTTTGTGATTTCTCTCCTCTATCAATGCTGCTCCAGTGAATTTCTTCCTTTAGGTGAAAGTCTTCAGGAGATATAAAATCACTGAGGCCCAGGCAATGAGTAGGCTCTTGTAGAAGTTCTGCACTTCTACCTTGGTGTCCATGTGTCCCTTGTGACAAAGGACAGTCCTCTATTTGAGGGGCTCTCCAATCCAAATCTGGTTTAAAGAGAAAGACTCATACGATGGGGCCCAGAATTTGCCCATCTGTGGTTAGCACCTAGACAATAGACTGAGCAGGTGCACACAGGTTTCTTGTGGTCTCACAAGAGGCTGGGCAGGCTAGAAGGAAAACTAACCAGCAAGCAAACATCCTAATCTGGAGGGGGAAAACTTTACCCTAAAAGGTCAAATTTCCTTGGGGAGACATTGGAAGACGTGTGTGTGTGTGTGTGTGTGTGTGTGTGTACACACACGTACACGCACACATGGGACCCCTCTAGACTGGAGATTTTTGCAAGTGCTTCTCTCTACACCTTGTCACCAGGCCCTGGAACTGACCTTTCCCACCCGATTCACACATTTCAGATGCATGTGAACAGTCATATTTAGATGTCCGAAATGGTAAAGATAAGGCGGCCAAACCCACTTTTACTTTCTCTTTGATTCTTTCCTACCCTTATACTGCCACTACTTTTGACATTCTGAGTCAGCCTTTGTGACATAAAACAAAACCCTTCACCCAATAGGGTCCTGTGCAAGCTGTACTTCATGCTGGGGAGCCATTATGCCATTGCCATGATTCCTCCGAAATGCCTTAGAGCGTTAGCTGTGATGCGCTCAACAGCCAAAGGCCACACTGTCAGGTAAATAGCAACAGCAAATCTAAGTGGTGGTAGAAGAAAAAACAGCTGCACATCTATTCTATCTCCCTTGGCAACAGCATCCTGACAACCGAAATGCTGCCATGTAATGGCTAAAAAGGAGAATGGGTTTTATAGAGTAGAAAACTAGAAAGGGCAGGTGTTATTTGAACAAAGAAGAGCTAGGGATGATTCACTCAGAGAGGCATGGGGGAGAAGTCCAATTTGGTTCATATTTAAAGGTGAATCTACCTAGTGTGCACATTCCAAAAGAATATGTGAACCAAAGCACAAGATTTACACCTCTGAATTTTGCAATGCAGCTCTTGAAATACGTGTGCAAAACTGCATATATTAGTGAAAATAACGCCAAAAATGTGTCTATTAGGAGAAATTCACATTAAAATACTGCTGAATTATCATTAAGATGTTTTTTAAATGCAAACTGATGTGGAAATGTGGATAACTGAACTTTAGACTGGAAAAATGAGAGCCTCAGAAAAACCAGAAATGACATACCCATTTCCCCCCTATTCACGCACAAACGTGCATCACTCGGATGCCCTTTCACCCGTGCATGTGCATATTTCCATGAAATGTGGATATTTTTGCCTCTGAATAGCCGCATTGCAGCTATGACTAGCCTTGCTCAGTTTGGAATATTCTTACAGAATCGTCATAAAACTTGGCATTAATAAAGTACTTGTGTATTCAGAGCACTTCATACGTGTGTCTGTTTTCCTGAACTTGGTGCCCTCCAGATGTTTTGGACTGCAGTTCCCATCAGCATCCAGCTTGACCAGTGGCCAGGGATTATAGTTCAAAGCATGTGGAAGACACCAGGTTGGAGGAGAATGATCTATGTAATCCTCCTAGCAGTGCTATAAGGTAGGCAAGATTCATTATCCGCCAAACACAGGAGAGGCCTGAGGCTAAAAGGCAGTGGCTTGTCTGTGGCCAGCCAGTGGATTCCTAGTACAGGGGTGGAGAACTATAGCTCCCATATCCCTGGGACTATACAAGAACTACAGCTCCCATCATCCCGGGTCATTAGCTGTGCTAGTTGGGGCTGGTGGGAATTGGAGTCCAACAATATTTAGATGGCCAGATGCTACTACCTGTCCTAGTGGAAGAGTTGAGAATTGGAGAATTAAAATCCACACCAACTTTTTCTACACCAGGGTTGCACCTTTATAGGTTGTGTCTCAGGTGTCCATCATACATGTATATAGAAAATTACACCATGGACAAGGTCATCAAGACATTGCTTTTCTCCGTTTACTTCACTGTCCTTTTCCCTTAGCCCCATTGCAACCAGATGACTTAATTTTCTAATGATGTAGGAGGGGGGAAATGGTTCTTGAGTCATTAAGGCAAATGAGAAATGACTGAGGCACTTGCTCCAGCCGAATAATTGGCCAGAGCTTTCTCAGTAGGAAGTTTCACAACTTCTCTCGTTTGACAGTGTTTTATTAGGCTTCCAGGCTTCTCTTGCCTACACCTCCTTCCCCAGTTTGGAAGAAGGAGGGTATATGCTGCTCTTATTTTAACAAAACGTGCGGGGGGGGGCATAATACTCAGCTTCCACTGATATAGGCAGCCTACCTTGGCCCTGATCCATTATGCCATACAAATACATCACAGTTTTAAGACCATTGCATTACATCCATTACATTTCTACCTTAATCCCATTGATCTCTATAGGATTAAACCTGTAATGATTACAGATTTAAAACCACAGAAATTAATGGGATTAAGGCTGCAATCCACTGTGCATTTACCTGTGAGTAAGACCTCTTGAATGCAATGCAGCTTACTTCTGAGTAGACATACGAAGGATTATACCAGGTGTCAGCAACCTAAGGCCCATGGGTCGGAAGCGGCCCACGGAGGCTGTTTAACCGGCCCACAAGCTGCCCCCGAACCGAACCGCCTGCTTGGTGAGTCCCCGCGTGCTGCACTAAACTGGCAGAGCATGACACAGGGACTCTCTTCCACGGCTCCGAAAATTGCTTCTGCGCATGCCCAGATGCCGGTAATCGCATCTGCGCATGTCCGCGGTGCCAGAAATCGCTTCTGTGCAGGCACGATTTTCAGCATCTGGGCATGCGCAGACGCGATTTCCGGCGTTGCGCTGCGCCGGTCCAGCCCACGGAAGATCTCCATGGGAGTGATCCGGCCCATGCCCGGTAAGCGTTGCTGACCCCTGGATTATACTGTATATGTGCCTGACTCTGCCAATCCTATATATGTCTCCTTGGGAGGTTAGTAGCTAAAAGAGTACAACCTGAAGCTAGTTTTATCAGTTTCCCTACACTCCTTGGTCTCTTAATTAGTCTGTACATATCTGGGTAATTAACAGATCCAACTTCTAATTCCTCAAGTATTGATCTAACAGCATGAAAATTTCAAAACTATACAAAACATGAGATACCTTCAGAGAATCAAAATTGCATATTGAAATATTCTTTCTTGCCCAGTGCACATGATCAGTTCAGAAGAGTGGGTGCCCACTTAGCAGTTCCACTGCCCACAGAAGTTTGAGGGGTTGCCCAGGAGAAGGCGTTCTCTGTGTCAACCCCCATGTTACAGAATTCCGTCCCCAGAGGTATGTTTGGTACCGTCACTATTGAGTTTCCATTGGAGAAATAGTTTTTTAGAACTTGCCCTATTCTTGTGACTATAATTTGCTTTCTACCATTTTAATATTGTATGTTTAATTTACTGGAACCTATCCTCAGACCACATGGTGAAGGGTGGTTAAAAATTGAATTAATCTTCATCATCTCTTCACACACTAAATATCTGGTTTATTTTTACTGAAGAAATAACACAGAAGGAGAATGAGAGGGGTCACTTATGTTGATCAGATGGTTATATAATTTAAAATACCAAGTTATATATTTAAAAATACCAAGGAGCTCCAGGAATATACATGGCCAGTGATCAAGGATGGGACCTAAAGGCTAACAACATCTAGACAACCACTGGTTCCCCATCCCTGACCTCCACCAGTGTTCTTCAAACCTTGGGTCTCCAGATGTTGTTGGACTGCAACTCCTGCCATCCTAGTAGCTTATCTAATGGTCAAGGATGACAGGAATTGTAGTCTAACAGCATTGAGAACCCAAGGTGGGAGATAACTGGACTGACTACACCATCACTGAGAATAATACTCTCTAGGATATAGGTTGATTCCACACAACCCTCAAAGCAGAGTGTTGGAACATTCTGCACTATGAAGGAAATACTGTTCAGGATTGGAACCAGAGAGAGAAAGAGCATGTCAGAAGGCAATTCAGATTTCCCTTTTTAAAAAGAACAACAACCCAGATTTCAAATATCTAAAGAGAACAGGTCTAGAAAACAATCTCTCAGTGTGTAAAATCCAGCTGTGTGTATAGCCAAATTACATGTCAGAGTATGAGCAGTATTCCACCTTAACATAGGAAATTAGTCCAAGCCATCAGGATGTGCCACTGAGAGGCTAATGCTTCCTTCCCAGCAAACCAGAGCAGTCAGGGGATCTTTTGTGTAGCAGCATCTGAGTCTGGCACTGCAAGTGTGTATGTCGGAGTGGAAAAAACCCAAGCTGGAATACAAAGCAGCTCAGCAGGGGAGCAAATAAGGCTCAGTAACTAATAAGCCTTCCTTGCCTTTTGCAAAAGTATTGCACAAAGGAGCAGGCACTAAGCCTCACATTCCTGCAAGACACGCCTGCGTACTGTGTGCCTGTCGTCTTTGCTCCCAAGCCATCCCAGCATTAGCAGCAAAACTCTCCTCCGGCGAAGTAGTGGCTTAGCAGGCACAAGCCACTTCCTTTATTTATTTTTTAATTACTAAAATATGAAGCTTCCTAGCCTACATGATGTGAGTAGGTGAGAATGTCTGCTGACAAGTCCAAATGATATTTTCAGGTGAGTAATTTTATTACCTAGCGCAATCTGATCAGTCTCATCTCACTTTTCCCCTATTTGACCTCCTCCGTTCAGTAATTACAAGGCGATTTAATTCCCCGTGATCGTTTTCTGAAGGGTCAGCTATTCAGTTGTCTGAATGTTTTTCTCAATAGGCGTTTCTGAACCCTCTGTTATTTCCACAGAATCTTGCTTTCTTTCAGCTTACCGTGAGAATGAATGGGGAGACCGCCTGCCTGCCTCTTCATGTTAATGTTCTGTTTGTAATCTCTATTGTTCCTATTGCTTGACAGTCTGAGAGGGAACTGAATTTCTTGATTTATGAACTGACTCGCCTTAAAGCTTGGCTAAAAATTCACCTTCTTAGCAACAGGGCTGATGGCTCCTCTAATGGGTTTAATTGTTGAAAGAGCTGGACCCTCGGTTGCTTTGTCAAGAGAGTGCTGTGCTTGAGCTGAATAGTGCTTGTTTCCTATGATAAGCTGTATATATTTTGGAAATATTTTGATTTCCCATACTTTTGAGCAAGCAAGATTTTGTTCATGCTGTAGGGTGAATGGCTTTCTTTTGTCCTCTGCCCCCCGCCCCAGTTAGCCCCCTCTCAGTTTACCTGTTACTATGAGATGGGCTTTATCAGACTTGATCAGCCCAATCCCTATGTATGTCTACTCAGAAACAAAGTAGTTTATTCCCAGGGTTGCAGCCATTTGAATCAATGGTGATTATTTTGAGTACTAACCCTGTCTGTGTGTTTTTGTACTTGTTATATGGAATTGGCATTGCTTATGTTGTGAACTGCCCTGAGGAGCATAAGATATAAATGAAGATCATGGCTATCGCATTCCTAGATTGACACCTATGAAATATTAACTGGGATGTGCCCATTCTTGGTAGAAGTGCCCTAACCTGGGTCTAGGCAGGGCACTGGGAGGACAAATAACTTTTCTTCTTAGTATGTCATTAGCTGAGAAATACACATTGGTGCTTTGTCAGGGAACTCCTGTCTGAAGGCTGGCCAACCTGTGGCCCTCCAGATCTTTTTGTTGGGCTGCAACTCGCATCAGACCCATCCAGTGTGTCCAGAGATCAGGAATGATGGGAACTGTTGTCCAACAAGCTCTGAAGGGCCCCAGGTTGTCCATTAGGTTGTTTAAATAGTCCCAAGTGAAAATCTCCAGAATTACATCAGGGGTATTTATGGGAACCCACTGATTTTGAAAGGTTTTGTTTGCTTAGGTAATTTTCACATATGGTTCATTTCAGACAAAAGACGCCCCATATCAACATCAGGCGGCAAAGCTGCGTCCCATGCACTGTATCACCTCAGAAGCAAACATGTAGATTGGTCCCAAAACCAAACAATGGGATTGTTTGTTCACAAGGGCTAGAAGGATCTCTTGCAAATGGCACTGAAGGAAGATGTCTAAAATTGCACTCAGTGCACTCCTGGCACAATTCTGTCTATGTCTACCCAGAAGTAAATCCTGTTAGGTTCAGTGGGGCTAACTTCAAGGTGAGACAGCATTTAGGCAAGGTTGGGGAACCTCAGGCCCAGAGGATAAATGGGACTCTCCTCCTGAGTTACACCCCCTCTTCCCAGGCCACACTCAACAGAGCTACTTTACACCCTCCATGAGTGTTTTTGGCTTCGCTGGAATATGTCCTTGAATTTGGATGATGCCTCTTGCCTGCCTGCCTGCCTGGATGGATGGTGGAGAGCAGGATCTGAGCGCATGCAAAGCCAGTCTACAGTACAAAGACAAAAATTTTATTTGCTCCAGGCAGGTAGCTTTTCTTCCCTAATTGAATGCCACGGGTGAGGTATGTGAGCACAAAAAAGATCTGCTCTTGACTTCCCAGAGCAACAATGCTTTTGAAGCCCCACTGATCAAGGAGGCTGTGTTTATCCTGTCATCGTCATGTCTGAGATCAGAGGATGAGACTGAGGTGGGTGGGGGTTGAAGAGACTCTTGGCTTTGGAATGCAAGGCTGAACTCTTTGTGCGTAAATTCACCGTGGAAAAATGCCTGCACAAGCAGTAAATGTTTCCAATGGGTTTTTGACAATTCGGACTCGGTCCAAAGTCATAGGACTCGTTGGGAAGTGCCCAAGTACTTTGATATACAACTGAAACAAAAGCAGAAAAAAGCCCTCTACTTGACAAGTCAACCTGATGCTATGAACTTTCATAACCTCCCATATAAACTCATGCTGCTGCCTGGCTGGGGAGTGTTAATAAACTTGTGAGGACTTTTTGTTAGTGGCTGCACACAGCCGGCATCAATCTAAATCAACCAGCCTTAAGGAACACTCTAAACATGATCATAGGACTGGCTCTATCATTGGACAAGAGGGTGCCAGCTCTCAGACAGATAATTTTTACCGTCAAGAAATTTAATGTGTTGTGGTAGTATCTTTACTGCAAAGGAGGAGGGACACTTGTGGGTTTTTCCTGCTTCAAGTACCAAAATATAGCCAGCCTTAGGTACTATGTACCTTAATTGGGAGGAGGATGTTATCTACTGCTGTCTTAGGCACCAAAAATATTTTGGGCCAGCCATGGTAGAAATGTTTATTTGCCCCATTCCTGCATAAATCGTGTGTGTGTGTGTGTGTGTGTGTGTGTGTGTTAAAAATTAAACATAAAAGGGAGATGCAGGTAATTGTCCCCCTTCCCAACTTTACTTTGCAATGGTCCATTATTCAGTTGGAGGGGGTGGGAAAGTTTTTCTCTCCCTCACACACACCTTTGGGTGTTAAAAGCACACCCCTCGGTGCTTCATCCATAAAACTGAGAAGAACCTTGGCTGCAATATTCAGTCTAGCAAGGCCCTAAAATCAGGGCGTGGGTGGGGGCAAGGGGGCTGTGGCCCCGGGCACAAGCAAGGTGCCCCCACAAAGGTCAGGCTTTTGCAGGGATCCCCATCCCACCCAGGCACATCCTGGCAGGGCTCATCCCCAGTTCCCCATCCTTCCCTGCCTGCTGCTAAGCGCTGTCTCTGGACCCTGGAGCCCAGCCTGGCCTTCCCACCGCATCCCTGGCTCCCTGGCTGAATGGCTGCATGGCCAGCGCTTGCTCACTTGACATGCTCCCCAGACAGTGAGCGGGCTAGGATGAAGGTGGGCAAGGGGCGACTCCCAGCCCTGCCCTCCTCTCCATAAGTTTCACCTGCCAAGGGCCACATCGGCTAGCTAACCCCCCCCCCCGTAAGTGGCATAGTGTGGCCCCACTTGGCTTTATAGGGGGCGCTCTGGCAGTGTCAGCATCGAGGGCTGGGCTGGCGCAGGGGTTCTGTTCACCCTCCGCACCTTGGTCGTCAGCAAACCACACTATGCTGCTGCCAAAATACACTTTTTAGCTTATAAGAAATAATATTTTAAACTAGGGACTGTCAAATCCCATCAACCTCTGCCTGCATGGCCAAGAATCAGGAACGCTGGGTGTTTGACTCCAGCAACATCCAAGTCAGATTGCCCACACCTGTTCTAAGGAAATGAGCTTGCATTGACTCCCCTTCTGTGACAGTGAACTCTTCTTTGGTTATGGCTGGTGACACAGGAGATCTGGAATAGCATTGCTGAGGAGCAGTTGCAAGAGTTGCTCCAATACCAAGCAAATGGTGAGGAGCTTTCATGTAGGCCCAGTAGTGGAAGTTGGCAGATGAAGCTTTGGATTCTGGAAGTATGGGCAGAACCATGGGAGACTGGAAAATCCCCCCTCCCTGCCCCTTTGTTCCCCTGAGTTGGAAAAGGTTCATGGCAGAGTGCAGTTCCCAACATTGTTGGCAGACCTTTGGGTTTTTTGTTGATGCCACAGTATTAAAACAAATGAAGGCTGCACACACACACTATACCTTTAAAGTGCATGTGAAGCACATTTTCCCCTCAAAGAATTCTGGGCCCTATAGTTTACCTCTCCCAGAGTTACAATTTCCAGCAACCCTCAACAAATTAGTGCACAGAACTCTTTGAGGAAAACCATGTGTTTTGAATGTACTTTAAAGGCATAGCGTGTACACAGTTTTAGGGAAATGGTTCGTTGTACTTCTAAGTAAATAAATATCAATGCATTGATGTGGGAAATACAGATGTCCTCCTGGTGCTTCCATTGTCTGGAAGGTGTGATATCTGGAATATAAGAGTAAACAACCCATTGAGATAAGTAATCAAACAGTGCTTCTCAGATTCTGTTCTTAATTTCCCTGTGCTTATTCATACCAGGCCTTCTCTTTCAATAATATACAAGGGATGAATATTCTCTGAAGCACAAGTTTGAAGCTTCTGTGAGATCAGGTTGGACAGCTGCCCCCCCCTTTAAGCCCTCATAACTGTGGAGGAGCTGCTGTGTTGTATTAGACCAGTGATCTGAAGAGAAATGTGTCCTAAAATGACCTTGAGACAGAATGCCAAATTGCTCCACAGTTGCTGTCTAGAAGCATCCAGTGTCCTCATCAGTGGCAGTCAGATACTTACTGCAAAGTAGTAGCTTGTTGGGGGGGTCACAAAGTAAATGTCTGTCTAAGATTTTGAGGGTACCTGTTCTTCCTCTGAAGTCTCAGAGTTAGCATTAAATGGAGACACAATTTTGGTAGGTGTGGACCTGTGCTACAGAGCTCAGAAAGATTTCTGCTGGAGAAAGTTCAGCGGCTATGCTTTGCTTTCATGCTCAGATGATAACTGATTGCCACACTGTGACGGAATTTTCCCTCTAGCTTGACCGTATGGTTCGTTCTCCTTTTGCTTTCTACTGTCATGCATGACACATCTCATTTACTTGAGCCATCTGGATGTGCTTTAACTAAAGGTATTCCTTGTCCTACATTTACCTCTGGCTTCTCTTCTCCATATGTTATATGGCATTATCTGGAACCAGGAGCAGGGTGGCTACTTGCACATCACACACACATACACAAGAGGGAAATGCATCACTTTGGAAAAAAGAGGAGAAAGTGGAACACATTTGCATAAAAAGTGCACATGCTAAATGCTAGGCATATATGGAAATTTAAAACAATTACTGTAATTTAAATAGAATTGCAATGCATCTCATTCTGGTTGGGCAGGCAGGAAGACTCAAACCAGGTGGCATGTGTAGCTTACTCAATCTGCTATCCAGGTGTTGGCAAGTGAATCCCAGGTTCCTCTCTTTGTATTGTTCTGTATCTTTAAACTGGACTTGTAAACAGGGGCAGTCCTAGCTGATTTCTACATTCGTTCTACTTCGTTCTACAGACAGTGTTCTGCAGACCATAAATGTATTTTGATATACAACAAGCTGACCTCTTTCTAGGTAGAGCAATGCCAATATAACAGTGGTGCCTTCTAGCCGTTTCAGTTATAAATTGTGTGTGCTCAAACATAGCCCTGCTTCAAAATAAAAAAGGGGGTATTGTGATAAAGTGTAAACTATCTCCGTTCCTTACAACCTGCTAGTGTTGTGCTGTGTTGCCTTATGAGTGAAAGGGTGGGTTTGAATTGTCAGGTGCCCAGTATAATTGCTTTAGGCCCAGATCCAACCTGCTGGCCATCAAGAGAAATTAGCATTTTGAGATTTGCAAGGTTGTGTGTTTTCTGCACAGTGTGGTGAGTAACTGTTGTGAAGTACTTTGAGTGTTAGACTTGGCCTAAGAAGATCTGGGTTCAAATACCTGCTCACATGAAACTCACCAGGTGGCCTTGCCTCCCCACTCTGTGTCTGTCTGTGTCTCTCTCTGCAAAACCTACCTTTTGTGAGGATGAAGCAGATACCCTCATATACTCTGTCCTAACCTGTGTAGTTGAAGACTGGGCCATAATTGTTTAAAATAAACGAAACTTTACACACACACACACACACACACACACACACACACACGGAATATGGGTAAGAAAGGGCATTTCTGCACTGCCATTCATACTTTATACAGGTAGAATTTTTTTAATCAAAGCTGAAATTCTCTGGGTTTCATATTCTGTACTGGAATATATGTTTGGCAAGCATACAACCTTGTGTACAAATGACCCAGCTGCAATGCAGGGAGTGAGCTTCTGTTGCCGTCACCTCAGTCCCAAACCTGCCATTCTGATTTTATGCCAGTTTGCTATGCTTTGGGTTTTCTTCACTGCAATCTCTCTCCTTGCAGGCGTTCTACTGATTTTGGCACTGACAGAAGAACTCGTGTTTGCAGTTCAGGCACCGTTTCCCAGCTTGGCATCATCTTGGGGCCTCCTGACAGACAATAGCAATATCTCAGCTATGGGGATGACTCCTGGACACAAAGGCCGTCACACCACCAAACTCTTGCCCACAGCATCCCTTGCAAACTTTCATCCCGCTAGCTCAGTGGAGACTTACACTCCTTCTGTTGGCCAGAAGGAATCAACCAGCAGCCATCCCATTGGCAACAAAGAACCATATCACTTGAACAACCAGAGTGCTTTGTTTTCCGGAAAGACTCTCCCCCAAGTGAATGTCTCTCAGGTTGTCAATGGCAATTCCACAGAATTTACAGAGCCTTATCGAAAGACGGGACAGCACTCTCCCCCGACTGTGAGGAACTGGTCTCCAGATCACCCCTTTCAGTCTCAGTCCACAGCCCACAGTCGTAGTAATGGCACCATGCTGGTAACCACAACAGACTCACTTGCATCTTTCCACAGTGATACCTTGGGAGGCCTTAACACGACAGGGAAGGGGAGCTCATCCGAACTGGTTACGCAGGAAACAGGTCTCACCACCCCAGCAAATGCCCCATCAGCTGCTCCTGAGATGGTGACAGTGCCTTTTAAACCCCAGCGGTATGGCATATGGGATATTCTGGGCAAAAATGACTCTTGGGTACCCTCGAGCCAAACTACAAACCAGGGACCTTTTTTTGCCAGCCCTGGGACTGCAACAGCAGCAGCATTTGGTCACTCTGGTCAAACAGGCATTGATGATGTTTCTTCCTCACATACAACAAGGAACCCAAATGAAACATCTACTGCACTGAATCCCTCTGGGCGTGCCAACTTGCCAAGCGCAGAGCCCTCCACGTGGATGCCGAGTTCCACTTCAACAGCAACAGGAAACTTCCTAAACAGATTGGTACCCGCTGGGACCTGGAAGCCTGGTATGCCAGGGAACATTTCTCACGCCTCAGAGGGAAACACGCCCCAGCACAGGGCAACCATTTGTCTCAGCAAAGTGGATATAGCATGGATCATTTTGGCCATCAGTGTGCCCATATCCTCATGCTGTAAGTTGACTTCTTTTTTTGTCATACATTCTGTGGTAGATGTTTGTGATACTCCATCCTTGTGTTATGTATATCTAATGTAACGGAAGAGCCTTGAATGTTCAGGTGCTTGAAAACTGGATGCTAGGAATTGGATAGTAGCTTTTTTTTCCAAAAGCAAGGCATTTCTACATAATTGGGTTTGCTGGTAAACCATGCCTTATACAGCTGACTGGTACTCTTATGAGAAGAATAGTGTCTGTGTATTTTGCCTCCTATCTCAGGTTCAACAAATGCTAGAAAGGTACTCTTTTAGAATGAAAACTGGTGATCTGGGACTTACGAGTCCAGCGCTCCCAATGAACTATATCACATATAGCATTAAGAAGGGAAAGAGCACTGGCTGGATTACTTTTCCCAGTTGGTCATGCAAACACTGTTGGGTCTAATTAATTTTTCTCTTCTACTTGATGAATATTACTTCATGGGAGTTAATTATAGCTAGTACTAGTCCATCAGGGGAGATTAAGGGATTTGGTTGTGGAGATACTTGAAGCACTGCAATTTCAGTTCTCCCACACCAAGCTGAATAGCAGGCTGTGGAATTCCCTATAAATGGCTGCTGGGATTTCAGTATCAATTGTCAACACCTCCCAAGTCGTAACATCATGGAGTGTGATCAGGGCTGGGGTGACTGAAAAAGATGGAACATGTAGTGATGTCTGGCCTTGCAGATACAATAAGTTTGTACGACTACCTTCAGCAAGACTGAGAGGTTGCCAGGATGGACTGAAACAGTGATCTACCTCTTCTGCGGCATAGCTTCAGAGCAGGGATGGAAACATAGATAAGTGGCAGAGCACAGTAAGCTCTACCTGTTTGTCGCATTCTGTGTGGCTGATGAGGCAGCCACATCCTGCTCACTTTATGTGAGAGGAATTGCTAGTGGCAGAAAACTCTGAAGAGGTGGTAGTAGTCTAGACAAATATGTGCCATGCTTAGTTCACTTTTGGATCAAGAGGCAACCATGTCAGATCACAAAAGAGTCTCGATATAATGCCAATAGCTGAATGGTCCAGAAGTATGAACTCAGAAATTTAAAAGTCCACAATTCTCTTTGCACAAGCCTAAGCTGCTCTTTGGCTTCTGGCCCATTCATAGTCCTTGAAGGGTTTGGGTAGCGGTTCAAATGCTTCCCAACCTCTCTTGTCCAGATAACAATGGGACAAAAGAATACGCCATGGACAGCAATGTTTTTTGTGTCAGTTCAACTTTTTTAAAAGCTCTTTTCTGTCTCCATCCTGTAAATGGCTTTTTGGGCCAGATGTTGCTGTATTAACATATTTCTCAAGTCAGCAGCTGGACTGTTCTATTTGACTTTGTTTCCCTGAACAGTTCGTTCTCTCACGAGCTACACCCTTCCTGTCCAATTGTAATTCAGGGGATGGAACGCTTCGCAAGGCAGGTGCCATGCATGGTGCCGCATCAGGATAATAAGATAATGACAATAATCATAGTATAATCTTTCCTTGGCTCTGCTAACTCTGCTTCCCCATCATCTCCCAAGTTGAAAGGCATGCATTACATACCAGATGTGGTACAAATGCCCACCCCGACAAGTCACTTTTCTTGTCATGGTAATGTGAAATAAATTACTTGCTCCCCCTGATGGACAGACCAGTTGCAGCTCCCTTGTACATGATCCCAAGGCAGAATGCTTTGGTTTTCCTGAAAATATGTTCTTACCAAAAGAGTGCAATTTCATATTCAGCATCGCAGCACAGCTGCAACTGTAGGCTCCAAGGCAGATCACCTGACAAATGGGTCATGTAACTAGGGAGGTTGCTGCCACCTTCAGGACACAAGGCAAATAGAGTCAACCTTTTGTCTGACCAATTTGCAGGTTTATTGTTGCGCACATTTTTTATTTTTAAAGTCAACGGGGTTGCCACCAGTCAGCACGTTAATGGCACAGGAAGCAAATCATGACACAGTAAACTTCAGTTTATTTGACTGGCAGGCAGTACATCAAATACAGTACAGGATTATTGTGACAACCACAATGAAAAGTAGACATATAGGTGCACAAATGGTACACAGCTGTGCGACTGTGCAATTAAGGAATTCTTAGACCCTGAACTTAATTATCGGAAGAGGGGCATTTAGATATCAGTGTGTTAGTACTTTACGTACTTCAAGCTGATAAGATAGCCCTGCTGTATCTGGGGACTTACAGTGGTGCCCCGCAAGACGAATGCCTCGCAAGACGAAAAACCCGCTAGACGAAAGGGTTTTCCGTTTTTGAGTTACTTCGCAAGACGAATTTCCCTATGGGCTTGCTTCCGCAAGACGAAATCGTCTTGCGAGTCTTGCGATTTTTTCGCCCCCCCTTTTTCTAAGCCGCTAAGCCGCTAATAGCCGCTAAACCGCTAATAGTGCTAATCTGCTAATAGGGTTGCTTCGCAAGACGAAAAAACCACTAGACGAAGAGACTCGCAGAACGGATTATTTTCGTCTTGCGAGGCACCACTGTACTTGCTCATTCTGCTGTGCAGGGCCCTTGACTGATTCATTGTTACATCCTCATGTTTATATCCCACCTCTCTTCCAAGGAGCTTCTTCCTCTTTCCATTTTTCAGTGTGCCTAAGACAATCCAGTGCAAGCGTGCCACCTTGCACAGCATCACTGCATGTGGTCACACCCAGGGTGGGCTGACATCACTCGTGCACGCCCCACGGCATGCACGTGACGCAAGCATGCCCCACAACATGTGCACATGGCCACCAGGGAATTATGAGAGGGCCCAACCGCCCCCTTGGAAATTTTGGTTCCCCCGCCCGGCTCCCGCTAGTTGGTGCGCCTGATTCACAGCTAAGCAAAGGTTTGAACTTCGGTCTCTCAGGTCCAACACTCTCAGCACTATAGCACACTGACTTTTCTCAAATTCCTGCCCTGGTGATGCCAGTGGTTGTGATTCAAATGGAGTCCCTCATTGTTTTGATATTTTAAGACTGCAAGATAAAATTTCCTAGGAAACATGCCTGCCCAGATATGGAAAGTCAACATTTTACTGACTGCTAGCCTTAGAATTTCCATAGTTTGGTTGGATTTAGCATTTCGCTAGCTTTCCAACTGGATCTCGCTCCTACAATAGTCTATCCAGGTGCCTCTGTTCATGTTCTGCTTCTTGTCCTGGTGCTTTTTTAAAAGCTCACACAATTGAGAATAATACCACGTAGCCATTCTCTAATCAAATTAAAGGGTTGTGGCAGCCATATTTCCACTTGAAAAGAAATGTGGCTAATCTTGCCATCACAAGGAAGTGGTGGGGAGTGTGGGATTAATTGAACAGTGAAATTCTGTATCAGTGTCCTTTTTCCTGTGCAATTCTAGGCAAAAGGAAATAAAGCATATAGAAATCAGGAAGGTGGAGATTTTTTGCACAGTGTTCAGCATAAGTCCCCATATCCATAAATGTAACCAAAGAATGGTGTTTCAGAAGAAGCATTTTCCAGGGTTAAAACAGCACAGGGGGAGGTACAACCATCCCCAGGAATTCTCTCTTTTCAGAGCAAAATCTACAGAGTCCCAGCCAAATCATGAGAGCAGCCAAATTGTGAGAGACCACATCACGCAAAGCACATATTCAGCTCATTATTGTCCGCTCAGGCCAGTTGGTTTGGCCAGCCAGGGAATGAAGTAGTTCCCAAAATCTGTGTGGTTTTGACCAGTGCATTAGGAAGTACAGCGAAACCCTGGAAAATGTGTCTTCTATTTAACTAGTACTTACTGTACATGCTCAGCAGAGAAGTGCTAAGTGGCATTCAGTTCTTAACCATAAAAATGCATTTTCATCTTGACACAATTCCAGTGGGTTTTATGTCCTCCTTGCTGCCTTGAGTCATTTGGGGAAGAGGGAGAATTTGTAACATGAAGTAGCAAAATGTTCAGCACAATCACTTTGAAAAACTTCTCCAAGCTCTTGGAATCCAGACCTTTTAAGGAAAAAAGAAAAGAAACCTATTGCTGCAATTAAAGGCTGGTGTGATGAAAAAGGAGGAGGATGGGAAAGCTGTGACTTCAATTCATGACTGTGAATTAATTTAGCCATTAATGCTCATGTGAAATGGAGGCCAGCTTGGAGCGTGGAAGTATCAGTAGAATACCAAAGATGCATGTGGCGTGTTCCCTTGGATCCTGTTCTAGCTCATACAGTGGTACCTCTGGTTATGAACTTAATACGTTCCGGAGGTTCTTTTGTAACCCGAAACCGCTTGTAACATGAGGCGTGCTTTCGGTAATGGAGCCTCCCGCTGCTGCCGGCATGCAACTTCCACTCGCATCCCAGGGCAAAGGTCACAACGGGAGCATCTACTTCCGGGTTAGCAGAGCTCGTAACCCGCAGCGTTCGCAAGGGGGACGGTACGTAACACAAGGTTCCACTGTATTTCACATCCTCGGAACACTTGAGCGCTCCTCCAGCTTTTATTAACTCAGTATATCAGCAATTGGTTAAGTTATGATTGGGTTTCAGATTCCTCACCACCCCCATTGAAATTCAGGAGAAGCGTCTGGCCCTTCTTAGCATCTGAAGGATAAGCCTTGCCACTGAGATAGGCTGCAGGTGAAGATCACCATTACAGTACAGCTTTAGTATGGTGTCTTTGCATGGATTGCCTTCTACGCAACCCTGTGCTTTCCCTATCCAACTCACTTTGCAAGCCTATTTACAGTGGTGCCTCGCAAGACGAAATTAATTCGTTCCGCAAGTTTTTTCTTCTTGCGAGTTTTTCGTCTTGCAAAGCACGGTTTCCCATAGGAATGCATTGAAAATCAATTAATGCGTTCCTATGGAAACCGACTTCAGACCAGGTCTGGGGACAGTCTGTCCCCCAACCTCTTCTGAAGGCTGGGGGGGGGCAAGGGCTTTTCTTCCACCCCCAGCATTTTAAAAAACCCCGGGACAGCGGGGGACTTCTCCGCTGTCCGGGGCGATCTTAAAATGCTGGCGGACTTATCC